TCCAGTGCAAGCGTCTGCATGCCGGATATAATAGTGCCGAAAAGCCCTGCCATGCCGAGGAATTCTCTCTGAGACGGAAAAAAAAAACACACACACACACACACACAAACACACACAACACATGTAAAAAGAGGACGGAGTTTATTAGTCAACATATTCTCGGCCCTCTCACACTCGAACAGACTCAAGCACGGTAGTGCATGTGTTGGCCTCGCACGAGCGGTGTGACAAGAGCAAAAAAAGTTCGCCGCCCCGAGAAACGTCTCGTCAACGTTGAGATGGCGCACGATTCACGAACAGAAGGTCTTCACCGACATCTCCTAAGTTAAACGACACACGCACGTTCGATGAGGACCCGCTTCGTGCCTCTCCTGCTAGGCTATGGGGGAGTCCAGAGATACAGATAAGGTGGGCGGGGAAACTGCGGGTTCCACGCACACTCGGCAAGCTTGCCGTTCGTACGTACGAGACAGACAAGACCAGACTGGTTTCCTTTGACCTAAGATTCGTGCGGACGGTACTTGAGCAAGAAACAGCGACCGCAACCTACCCAGTTGTAGTTCTTGACGAAGTCTTCCTGCATGACGTTGGAGCCAGCGTAGAGAGTGGCCCCGAGGATGCAGAGCACGTCTCCCTTGAACGCGTGCGGGTGGCCGCTATCCGCCTCGTCTCCCTGGAGGTCGGACACGATAGTCAGCGCTAGCCCCACCAAGCACAGACCTACCCCCGTCAAGTGCTTCTCATTGTACTGCGCCCGCAACAGCAAGCGCGACAGCACCATCACGGCTGGAGGGGCGGGGAGGGGTGGGGCGGGGCGGGGGACCGGGAGAGCGTCAACAAGGTCGAAGGAGCAATGCACGTGTACGCCGGCAATGAAGCAAGAAAATGTTGCAGTAACTACACTAGTTTGGGGGCCAGACCAAACAACACTGACAGAATACCACTCCCTCCCGGTAAGTGACGTACGATGCGATAGTCGATTGTTGTGTCCACACGTGGCAACTGCATCACCAATATTGTGGATTTCCACGCTGCGAACCTGTCCTGCTATAGGTACACTGTGTTGTGTAGTAGACTCCGGTTTAAGCAGCGCGATTACCGGGCCAGCCAGTGGCATCAGGACAACGACATGTAATCTGTGTTTGTCAGGCACTTTGCCAGCCCGCAAGACACGCCCACATGCTGCTGCTGATTTTTCTGCCAGTGTGCTGTTCATGCCACCTTCCCTGGCGCCAGGCTACACACCCTCTTCTTCGGTCGCGAAACTCCGCTCGACTTATCAAAGTATCGGTATCAGCCGGGGTCATTTGTTGGGAGTGAGAAGCAGATACCAACCGCCGATTGTGACTGTATTTATGTAGAGGCAAATGCCGATCCCTCCGTAATGCTAAGCACATTTCTCATGTCCAAGATAACTGGCAAAAAACGAAAACGAAAACGTAGAAGTAGTTCCTGATCGCACTTTTCACTGCTGCTGGAGCGAATGAAGCACCCATCTCCTTTCACGGATACATGGATCTCTGCTTCAAGGATACAGCGCAATTTCCTTCAAGGGTACGAAGCACCAGGTAGTATTTTACAGTGGCAAGTCGACGGCAGTCAACAGGGCACGTCCGACATAACATTTTTGAAAAATTTAAGTCAAACCTTCCACGATTTCAACCCCTTTGAAATATCGACATGGTGGCGACCACATGGTGGCGACCGACTTCCTAACCAGCAACGATTCAGCGTTTTGCGGCACCACGGGCACAAACAACCACACCACAAACACAAAACGGCCATGTGGCGGCCGTATTCACCAACTCAAAACACCGGTCGCCCCGGTGGTCTCGTTGGTATCCTCGAAACCTTCTAAGAGGTCAGGTCAGGGCTTCGAATCCCGGCGAAGCGAGCTTTTCTTGCGAAGTGAGTTTTTCTCTCGCTTCCGCTCCTGGCCTAGTGGATAGCGCTAGCTCGTGCATACACGGAGGGAAGAGAGTGCTGAACTCTTCTCGCATAAGAAAATCGAAGGCAAAGTACCGCAGGAGGGGAGGGTAGAGAGGGGCTCTTCTGCGTGACCACGGGTTGGAGTAAACGGCACTAGTGCCGTGAGCGCTGATTTGAAGTAAACAAAAAAAAAAAGAAAAAACATGGGCACAACGGAATAGATTTGGAGATGCCATAACCGGAAATGAATATGCTATTTATTGAAACGCCGAAGCTCCTTTGAAGTTTTCTTTTTTTTCTCCCATTATTGGACTCTGTCGTCTGCCCCTCTGGCCCCTATCCTCCACTTCTACCAGCTAGACGACCCAACCGGGGTCATATAGGAGGGGGGGGTTGGACCCCCTCCTGCGGTTCCTGCCTGAGATATTGTTGTCGCGAGAACGGTACAGCAATCCCTTCCCTCGCGGCTTATGAAGTCGGTCAAGTTTACTAACAACGAGCTTTGCTGCGCGTCGCTTCCAACGGAGACCAGGATATAATTAGCGAGAAAAAACTCACTCTGTCGGGACTCGAACCCATGACCTGGTCCTTAGCAGGCTGCGAGGCTACCCACTAGACCACCGGGGCGACCGGGTATGTAGTGTGCCCCTCTCGTTATATCTCCCCTCCCCGAACATGACGCAGAGATAAAGGATGTATGTCCCAAAGCACGCCATAGCAAAGCTGTGGTATTGCGAGTGTGTGTATCCGGCGGCATGCATATCTACATGATTCGCATTTTCTTCGAACGTCATAAACAAACACTTCATTTAGCAGCGTGGCGGCATGTACCTGCTGCCAGACGTTGTACCTAGAGCACACAACCCCGAGGAGATGGGAGAAATCGATGCGTGGAACAGAAAAGAAGAGACTCCGTGAGAGGGGGGATGGACTGGATGGACTCTGCAGCCCCAAGCTGCTGATCAACCGCCCCCCGCAAGCAAACAACCGTGGCTGTTTGTTTTTACTCTCTTTCAGTCTGCCGGTATGCTTCCGTCGGGGTGCATGACAACAAACGCACTACACTGCTGTGTATGTTCTTAGTCGCGACAGGGTATAACCCAAGCGCAGACCACGCTTACCAGGAATGCTGAAGGCGTCAAGCATCGCCACGCTCGTAATCGACGTGTATCTGTAGGCCAGCACCGCAAGCGTGTTGGCTTCCACGTCAACCTTCGGTCAAGAGCGGGGGGGGGGGGGCAAGCGGCATCACACCAAAACAAAATAGCACAGAAGGTGGTTGTCGGCGAAAACAAAACGGCCGGCGCAACATTCATATCTCTCGCGAGAAAGGTTAGACATCAAGGCTCTCCAGCATCGGAGACCAAACAAAACATGACGGCTGCTGACTCAGGCCCGGCGTACATCTACAAGCTAGCACACAGAGATTCGAAAACCGCGAGCCTCATCACCACACGTCGAGAGGCCTTCGAGAGCGGTCGTCGCGCAATTGAGCCGTTCGTTTTAGATGCAGAGAGCCCGCCAACGAGCACCGCTCTAGAGATGTTGCGCCAAAGGCCGCCGCGGCGGAGATATATTTCCTCTCGTCGGGCGGGCCCAGAAACAACCAACAGAAAAGTGGGGGGCGCGGCCCTCTCTGCGTAGAGCCCGTCAAAAGCCCTCGCGGCCACGCAACGGCTCACCAGCGCGTAGAAGGCATATCTCCACCACGGCAGCGTGAGCTGCAGCGAGCCCTGAAACCAGCTGAACAGCATTGGGAAGAAAAAGAGCGCCATGATGAAGCTGTAATTGACAAAATTAACGAACGAGGGGATCGAGATGCCCCTGTCGTCCAGACTCGCCGCGCTGATCGATATCATGGCGATCAGCAGGCTCAAGATCTGCCCCAGGATCATGGTCCTGCATGACACGCCGAGTAGGTTCTCCTTCGAGCACACTCTGCTGGTGCTATCGCCATGTCCCGGACTGACCGGTGGGGCGGTATCGACATCAGAGGTCGGCGAGGTTGTTGCCGAGCCACCATCGTAGAAGCATCCGACACCGCTCTCAAGACGGAGGGACATGGTGTCCTCACGTTGCGCGACTATTCGCGTGCAGGCGGGGGTGGGTCGTGGTGGTCGGGCGTCTTGGTCCGGGGGCTGTGAAGTGGTGTTGGTGTTGTGTGGCGTGCTCTTCCATGTAGCATTGAGCTGGGGGGGTTCGAATTGAGAAGATGGCAGTCAAATTTGGAAAATCAGTTTGCATCAATCAATCCATGAAATTTTAGTTTGTAGTGATAGAGTGAGCGGTAAATGAGACGTGGGGCACCAGCGATATGAGAGGGACCACCAAATGGCTGCGCGTCAACCTCCTGTCTGTGCAGCGTGCAGAGCATCTTGTGTTTTCCAGCAGTAGTAATGCTAAGTAGATGGAGGTCCATCCGTATGCTGCTGTGGATCTGTGGATACGGAGGGAGGGAGGAGACCACGCGTTTCTTCCGCGATGAGCCGTAGATATGTATGATGGCACTGGTGTATGATTTCAGAGTCAGAATTTTGAAGAAGTCGGAGAGAGAGATTTTTTCCGAAGACGTTGTACGAAGAGTGGTTGCAACTGCATACCATCACACAAAACAGGCCCGCGGCTTGTCCCGTCGTCGTGTTGGTGCCTGGAAAGCACACGTCGCCGCTCTACCGCTGTCCTACCGTCCTACCACCTGGTCATCGATCACCTACTACATGCAGTAGTACCCTCTGAGCAAGCATTTCAGCGGGTTCGCTTATCATGAATCACGATCTGTAGTAGTGATGACTTCACACATAACTCGTCGTCAAAGGAGACATTCAGGCAGCTTTCAGGCAGCACTCCGGACTCCGGTGTCATACTGCTGTACGCGAATCCGTACACATGACACCGGCAGTGCAACAGCACTTGAAAGTGAAAGGTACGAACTTGCGATGATTATTGAGCCAAACACAAAAACGGACGGCGAGTTGGGTGCGGACAATGTAGCACTCCCTCTGTACTGGGTGGCCACGTGGTGTGCTTCACCCTACCTGCGGTGCCCCTTGGACTGCGCTGGAGAGCCAGCTAGCAGCACAGATAGCAGGCAGAGCACTCCGCATAATGCTCGAGGAAAGAGCTGAAGGTGAGAGGCCGTGAGTTGGCGGAAACAGTCTGCAACTCAGATCATCACAATCAGCAGCACTGCTGCGGTTCCAACAACGAAGAGCGTGGACCCGCGTGTCAGTTCAACCTTTTTGGACTGGCAACGGCAGCGGCATGTCTGCCGCTGCTGCCCCTTTCGTGTGTAGCATTCCTCTGCTCCACGCAAAGATGCAAATCAGACTGCACCATCGCGGTTTGGTGGGCGATGAAGATTCCCAACCGCGTGATCGCTTGAGCTCGACCGAGCCTGAACGATGTACTACAGCAGTAGTACTCTATGTCATCCGGCGATGGTCGGCCAGTAACAGGGAACCACGTCTTGCGGAGAGATGCCGCTGCAGCGGTGTCGATGTACTGCAACGACAGCAAGGCGTTGTGGCAGATTTGCTCCATGCATGTGTGACCCCAATCCGGAGCTCGTCAGATAGGAGCGAAGAATACAGGTACATATGCATAGATGAATAGTCTGCAGCAGTATGTGTGAGTATAGAGATCTATGTTGATGGAGTCGCTCTTCTTGACTGCTCTTCTTGACTGCACAAACGCCGATGACATCACTGCTGCCCACTGCCCACGGGCTATTCCATGTCATGGTAGGCGTGTACTTGCGCATTTGTGCAGTCAAGAACATTGATTGGCGGCGCCCGTGCCAAAAATGTCGGCGTTGAAACGCTGGAACCGTCTCGTCCATATCTTTCAGAAAACGGATCATTTTATCATTCGATTTTTGGAACCCTCTTCGTAGTGGAGTTATCGAGCATCAGTAGTCGATCGAGGGGGTGTGTTATCTTAGGCAATATGCCTGCAATTCTTCTGTAATATGCTTCCGCATCCCGGTTTACGCCCTGGAAAGGGGTCGTCGGACACACAGACTATTGCTGTCGGCATGATATCTTGTGTAAATCGACGTTTTATGCGTAATTTGGGCGGGAACTAATTATGTTGAGGTCTACCAGATGTGAAGGACATCAAGAGGGGTGGCTCTATGTGTAAACAGTAGTAGCCATACAAGCCAGTCACAAGCTTGAATTGTCTCCTTTATGCAACACAACGAATCCATCTATGCATATATCCGTAGATCAAATTTCCAGGATAAATTAGCAATGAATCCAAAGCGTTAGCGGAGGCACTCCCTGTGTTTTTTTGCTTTTTTGGGACAGACCAGCGGAGTGCAACATGGGGGCGGCGGGTACATACATACCGCCTGATCACGTCGAGCGACTATGTTGGCCAAAATGGTACTCTTGTCCGCTGTCGCAAGACTCAGATTCCAACACCGTCAACACTCTGTAGCTCAAAGCGCACGGTCGTACAGCAGTATCGCACGTACAACGACTCTCCATTATACATCCCTACGTCTGTTTACCCCTAGAGTTGCGCCAGACGGACACCCCACTACAGGCATTGCCTGACAAGAGGAAAGCTTCCTCGACCCCACCAACAGCAGCGGCTGAGCCGGCGGCAGCAACAGCAGCATCAACAGCTTCGAGGGCGGCGGCTGCCAACAGCAGCGAGGAAGTGGACGTTGTTGATATTGAGGCCTCCGTACCTGGTGAGATGGGGACAAGAGAAATTGCAGATAACCATGCATTCGTAGCGTGTTGTTTCGGGTGTGTAGCCTTCAACATGTTTAGGCATGAGGCGTTTTTTATTGCGGTTTCGTGGCTCGATATTGTGCTGCAGTCACACGCGGTGAGGGCCGTGGTGACAGTAATAGCCTGAGACTCCAAGCAGCGCGAAGGAATGGTAAGTTTGCTTCTCCTCTCCCCCGCTCCTCTTGAGACCGGCGGTGTTTATTGTGCCCCCGCACGGCAACCGTGTGTGGGTACATGATTGGTTTGAGGCGCTAAAATGTGCATCTGACAAGTATATCTTCACGTCGCGCTTGGTGCATCAACGTCTGCGCGGTACGGTTGAAGTCCCCCCAAGCTATCGTTTCCGGAATCTCAGCAGAACAGCAGAGCTGGGATCCACGGCAACAACCCACTTCGGCCATTCCTGAGAACGAACCCCCCTCCGAAACAGGAAGGGGGCAAAGATAGGCAAGAAGTTCGAAGTACGAAAAACTTGAAAGAAGATGCGCAGAGAAGCGTACAGAGCACCCGATTCGTTGGAGGCGTCTCTGTTTCGAGTAGGAACGGTTCTCCGTCCCGTTATTGTAGGAGGTGCGTGGCCGGACGCCAAACTGAAGGCAAGCTTTGGATGTTTCCGCAAGGATCCTATTCTACCAGTATACCTGTCATCCACACAAGCATAAAAAATCTAATCAAGCATCAAATAACCAATAGGGATGCGAGGTCAATGGTCTTACGACTACGGCTTGTGTGGTAATGCCTTGTCCCCTCGAGGACACGTGGTCAATGGACTAACCGCTATGGCATGCAAACCATGGGTACCCCCCCCCCCCCCCCCCCCCCCCCCCCCCCCCCCCCCCCCCCCCNTAACCGCTATGGCATGCAAACCATGGGTACCCCCCCCCCCTCCCTCCCTGCCCCCGGATCCCCTCCAAGGCACGCCACCGACTTCCCCGATCCCGTCGAAGTCCCGCCGCACCCGCCAAGACTCCATATCCGGGGGGCAACAAGCAAACCCTCCTTTCTTGCAGCCGGAGTCTGGGTTTGCCTCACCAGCTAGCGGTGTTTTCGCTCCAGGGGAGGATGTAGCGGTCGCCGAGGACTATCCCGCGCGAAGGCGCTCCACGAGAAAAGGGGGGGAGCGCGATGCGCTGTTCAGGAGGAGGCTTCAGAAGCAGGGGCACAGGGACATGCTCTACGAGCTGAGGGAGGATGAGACGTACGAGATGAAGGAGATGTCCGTCAGGGAGGTGTTTAACTACGTTCAAGGTCAGTTCGGGTCGTTTTTTTGTTTTTTTTCGTGGCTTTCTTTTTGGCGCGCACACGACTTTGTGATCTTCTTTCGTGTTTTTGAGGACTGTTCTGGTTCCATTTATGTTTCCGTTCTGAATTCTAAATTATGTATTATTGGGCTTGGTCGGCCTTTGACCACGGAAGACGTCCGTTTCATTTCCGTTTTGATTTCTACAAGTGTGTAGTATACCCTTTTTGGGGTAGTGACCACGGAAGGTGTCCGCGTCAGGTGGACCTCTACGGATGTTACAAGGCACTGAGCAGCGACCGGGACAGTGTTGAGTGTGAAGTCAGCAACAACAACAACGTGACAGTAGTGTTTAATACCCGGACTCCTTACGACGAGGAACGAAGGCCTTGAAAAAGCGGCGCAGCCTCAGGCGGTGATGTCACTGCTGTATCAACAAGAATTTCGAGAAACACCGACTGGTAGGTCGGCTTGTGAAGAATCCAAAACGCACTTTGCAGGATAGGACAACGTTTCGGGCCGAGTTGTTGCCTCTTGCTAGCTTTCCTGCGGCATAACATGTCGTTAGCGGTGTGACGCGAAATGGCCACCAAAACAGAAGCTAGATTGTTCTTCCCTGGGGTAGGGATGAATAGCAACGGCCCGAACAAGATCAAAGTCTCAGCGGCACGATAGGCCTAGAGTTTCCTGCGTCGTACATCGTGGCATGAGCGTTGAAGAATGAGTGCCTTGAATGTTGGAGGTGTTTCGACGATGAGCATTGTAGGGGCAGCGGTGCTCTGTCTCGAGAGCGGCGGGTGATCTTTTAGGTAAAAGTGACGCAAAGGCTAATCAACACGCCCTGCGTCCCCCGACTACTATGGTGCGAGTTGTTTCATGCAAGGGGGTGTTATTGCTGTGGATTCACCGTTCCGTATTCCCACCCCCATGTCCTTGCTGTTGCCGCCCTCCCTTTGCGAGTGTGGCAGCTGGGTTCAGTATGTTAGCCAGCGCTACGATCCCGTTTCCCTCAAGGCACCGCACCCCATATATATGTGCCGAGGCTTTCGGATGTGTCGCTGATCGAAAGTGTTGGTTTTGGTCTTCTGTACGCTCACGTTTTCTTCTTGTTTCTCGCTCAAGTCAAGTCGAGAGACGCACCAGTTCTTGCGGCGGGCCAAGCACACTCGTGGTGTTTTCCCACACATTAAATAATTAATTTTGGGGCAATTTTTGATCCGCCAATACCGACATTTTGTCGTCTTCGGGCAGCCAGTAGCGCGTTCGATGCTTGACAAAAGTAACGGACGCATACATTCACACTTCTCGCGCACGCCATGCTTGTTTTTTTTTGTCTTTATGCACATGCCGGGCTTGTTTCTTTGCGCGTAGCTTGGTTTCCTGACGCCTCCAGCTGCATGAGCGCTGCTCTTAACTCTGCGATGGCTTGCTCTCTTGCCCATATGTCCCCTTCTTGTATCCTTGCCTCACCACTGCCATCACCACCACAACCCATACCACCGTCTGCCCACGAACGGATTCGATGTCATCTTATCGACATTTTTCGCTCACGCTCCGCGCAGAGATCGTGGCCCCGTACGCTTTGGGTTTGGGTGCCTCGCCCAGGGGGGATGCCTTAAACTTCGTCCAGCAGGAGCAGCAGCAGCAGCAGCAGCAGCAGCAGCAGCAGCGACAAACATCGGCGCCCTTGTCGACTAGATCTACGCCGTCTAGAAACCCTCGAGACGCAGCGGACGGCAGAGGGTACGGTAGCGTGGCGGACAGTGGTGGGAGTGGGCGCATGCGGCGAACGGCGTCGGTCAATGGTGAGGGAGACGGAGGAGACCGGGCGTCGTTTTAGCTCGATTGCTCTGTTTTTTTCTACGCACAAATTAACGTGATGTTGGGTTGTTGTCGGTGCCTACAAGGCAATCCGATCTCCCGGTTGGGTTGCAGCATTGTACGAGCACGGGTAATGGACAGAGGAACGGTTCGTTTTGAAATACCGTATATGACACAAGATAGCACACTCCCTGGACCGATTTTCAAAGCTCGATTTCTCAACACCAGAAAGAGTTGTAGCGCCGAAAACGGCGGCGTGAAAACGTCTAGTCGAGAGCTATCCGAAAACTCATAGTGTCGTTCATTCATCCTCTTCGTCGAGTAATCGAGCTTACAAAATCGGTCCAGGGGGTGTGTTATCTTGTGTCATTCACGGTGGTCTAGACGCCGACAACGAAAATATTAACATTCACAACAGCGACAACAACAACAACAACAGCAACAACAACAACAACAACAACAACAAACAAAAGCAATAACGACGACGGCGACAAAATCAATAGACTCAACAACAATAACAACAACAGCAACAAACGCGCGCGGCAGGTGTCCAGATGTCGAGCCTCAGTCTCCACTTGCGCGATATGCGACAACTCTTCAGCTCACAGTCCAAGAGCGAGCCGGCCATCAGCGTGCGGCGTAACTGCGTGCTCGTGAACTTCGAGACGCTAAGGGGGATCGTTCTCGTTGACAGGTGATGTGAGAACCGTAGATGGGGTCCGGGGGGGGGGGGCATGATGTTTTCTTTGGGCATGGTTCCTCCCATGTTCCCATGTCACCGCCTCTTGGTCGAGAATTAGTCCGGATGTAGGAGGCGAGCTGTAAGCGCCGCTCATCGCAACGATCGTCTTGGTACATGCGACTAGCGTTCGTTCATTCGGAAAACCAACTTGCAGAGGGGGAAATGCCATCCGCACGGGATAGGGAGAGTACATGCCGCCACTTGAGCGCCTCTTATCTTGCACCATGCTCTTTTGTTTCCTCGTCTGTGGGGTAGCCCAACAGCGATTATTTCGAGTTTAGTGTAGGATTCTCAACTGATCTCCTGTTTTTTGGCCAGGATTAGTTTTTATGAATCTGTTTCTTTGAGCCTAGCTCCCACGTTTTAAAGTGAATGGTGGCGCGTGCAGTAGTCGAGAACACGCCCAACTTCGAGTGCTCGTTGCCAGGTAGCGGGAGGACACCGGTCGGGAATTGGGCTTTTCTTTGGGACGTTGGTGCCAAGGGATTATCCCGTATACCAGACTTCCGACGAGCACGTGCGTACGCCGAGCACAACCGAAGAAAAACAAGAACGAATCGATCATTTTGGGGTGAAGAAAAACGTGTGCAAGGATGAGTGTAAATCGAGCAATACTGCGCTCAAACTACCCCTATTATAGTACTTCGCTGTCTTGGGCATGTATGTACCACCCCGAAAAGTAAGCATAGAAACAACCAAAAAAATGCAGCAGATCAAGGTGTATATCCGACACTAGGAACGTTTTTTTGTTTCTTGAAACGGAATCTCCGTGGCTTTCGGTGGCGCCTCCTCTCTCGTCGGGCAGAATATTGCTAGTGGTTGATCCTGGTGCGGACAGCATCCTGATGGAGGTCAGAAACGCGCTCTCGCAGAGCCACGACGACGTCTACGAGTTCGAACTAAAGGCCGTCGAGGCGCTGCTGTCCGTCTCGTCGAAACGCCTGGTGAGAAGTACGCTTTGGAAAACCCGCCGGTTGCCTTGAGTTCGTGTGTTTTTGTATCGTCTGGGAAAATTTACTTTGCAATGACAGAGAGACTAAAACTACTACTACTTGTACCCCTTCGAGAAAACATGTGCCTTGCCTGTATAGTATCATGCTCTGTCTTTTGTCCCATGCTGCGAAATCTACTTGCAATATGGTGGATATATATAGAGAGAAGAACCAAGCGCAAATCAGGCCACCGAATCCTACACGTGGCCCTACCCGAACTCAAACTGTCCACGTACCCCCTCCCCCCTCCCCACCCCCCCGGGATTCCAAGTCCACGTAGCCTAGAAGCCGTAGCCGCCCAGCAATCGCCCGAACAGTTAGTTGCCCACGGAAACGGGGGACCGTTGGGATTCGCGGCTGAAATCGAACGTTGGTATGAACCGACTCCGCCCGAGACGGAGTTTCTGGCCGAAAAGAACACAAGAAGTGGACGAGCGGGTGATCACCGAATCGTGCGACCATTGGGCGCACGTTACCCTGCCTCTTCGGCGGGGTCGGATAGTCGTGCGGCGTAACCCGCAACCCCGAAACGCTCAGTACAGAGCGGTGGGTAGTACCGGAAGTGTAACTGTCGACAGCCTTCGTGTCCTGGAAATGAAGATACGGGGTAATTGGTCGTGTCCGTGCCATCGCCGTCGGCCGGAACCGCCCGCCGCCTCTGGTTCTGCCTCCTCTGGTTCCGCCGCCTCTGATTCAGCCGCCTCCGGTTCCGCCGCCTCTGATTCCACCTCCTCGCAGGAGAGAGAAGTCCGAGAGGTGGAGAAGCATATCGCGAAAATCGTGACCATACTGGAGGGGCCGGGCAAGGGCGCCACCTCCGCCAAGAACAACGACACCTTCCGCGGCCTACTGAACAGCATCAACGTGCTGGAGAACAGGGCGAAGGCGAGGCGACGAGCGCTGCTCATGGTGAGCGGATAGCGGGGGGCCCGTCGTTTTTTCTACTGCGGGTGTGGGAGTCGAGGCCTCGTTCGTTTCCTACCGACGATGTGGGCTCGGGCGTGATCCCTAGTACCACCCCTGCGTGTGACACGACGGCACTATATATCGAACTGCGGTCCCCCCCCCGGTCGGCCCCACGACAAACTTGAAAAGCCCAATAACCAGAAACGGGTATATACCCGGGTACTTTATCACCACTTGAGGGTACAGTTAGAAATCAACACGCTTGCACCCCCAGGCTGTGAGCTGATTGGCCGAAAAACCATTGTACCCATTTCTGAAGGAACCTCCATCAGGTACAACTTCCGCTGGAATTAGGACCCTCCGGTGTGACCGATATTGGTTACTGGTGTAGCCGGAAGAGGTCAATTTTGTACCCAGAAATGGTCATATAATCCCGGCGCCCGACGCTCTAGCATAAAACCGCAGAAAAAATCGTTTGCCGCACATACCGTGTACCACATATACATAACCATTACCAAACCAACAACGCTCGCTCGTTCATCGTTCATGGGCACCGCCTCCATTGGATACCGGCCCTTTTCAGAGGGTCGGACTCGCTTCACGCGCGAGTACTTCGGTGTGGTACTGATCAGTAAAAGCACAGAGAGAGAGAGGGGCACAGAGAGAGAGAAAAACGGGCACCACCTGCCTCGTGCATCATGCTTCCGAGGCACAGGACACACAGGACACAAGACAGCGGTTTATTGGTTTCGCCGCGATCTACGGCGGATGCTGTCGGAGATTGGTGTCGTCTTGATTTCCAAGTGTACCCTGAAATGGTGATAATCTATCCGGGTATACCCGTTTATGGTTACTCCTCACTTGAAAACAAACAGGTGCTCGAAGACGACACGGACTTGGCCATGATGAACCTCACCAGGATGTACCAGAGCCCCGAGGAATACCTCCCGCCTCTCTCGACCGAGGTGCTCGAGGACCACGAAGAGATGGAACTCCTTCTCGAGGCGTACCTCCAGGTGGGAACACCCAGTCGCGTGCCCCCCCCCCCCCCCCCCCCCCCCCCCCCCCCCCCCCCCCCCCCCCC